TATTACAGGTGAACACCACACTCCCCAAAGATCTGCATTGGAATTACACTCAGCTTAGTTACACAGTAAATTAGAAGGGAACTGACACTTTTATATTATTGGGTCTGTGTTCAAATTTCCCTCCTCAGAGAGTCTGTCCTGGCTCATCTTACATAAGCTAGTACCAGTGGTCACCTTATGTGTGATTGCAGGACGTAAGGGCCAAGCGATGAGGGATTTTTTTTTCAACACAAGTCCCATAAAGCTGTCAAACTATAATGAAAATGTACCTTTTACTATGGTTCACCAAGCACCCAAAACAGTGTCTAGCCCAAGGAACGGCTGAGCATTGGCTTCTGTGCCAGGTACTGGGGACCCAAGTTACGAAAGAGTCAGGAATATGTCCTCTCACCCAGAACACAGTATGTCTCCCCACGTATTCAGGTCACTCTATGTCCTTTGGTTAAAATTAGTCTCCTTCATAAAGGAACACTGCACATTTGTTCATTCCTTGGTATTTTAACATTTTTATACTATCTAAATAGGATTTTCTATTATATTTTCAAACTGGTTACTCCTTATTTGCATATTGCACCTTCTCTCTAGCCATATCTTACTACACACTAAACTCTTCTTGGTTCTGATACAAAACTCAAAGAGGATTCATGAGAAAGCTTTCACTTACAAATAAAAACTGCTTCCTTTCCTTTCTGATCTTTATCTTTTCTCTTCTTCTCCTCTTTCCTATCTTACCGCTCTGATGAGACCTTCCAGGATAATACAGATGAACAGCAATGGCAACAAGCATCCGCGCCTTTTCCCAGACTCTCAAGCACAGTTTGGAACGACATTTGCTGTTAGTGTCTGGGATATGGTTGTTCAGGGGTTCCTCACTGCTTTCCAATCCTGACTGGTTTTGTTTTACTGTTGTTTTCTCCACCAGGACAGACAAATGTTCAGGTTTCTTTTTTATTAATCTACAAATGTAATGTAGAACATTAATAGATTTTCTAAAATTGACCCACCGTATCAAGAATAAAATCTAGCCTGCCATAGTGTATTACGCTTTAAGATACCACTAGATTTGATTTGCAAATATTTTATTAAGGATTTTTATGTGAGGATTTTATAATTTTTAGTTTTATAATAATAAAGATTTTATAATTTTTTAATGAATTTTACCCAACTTAGCTTAAATTGTTACTAAGATAAAAGGTAAAGAAAGATGATGAGAGTAATTCATCTACACACTACAGGAAGGGGAGAACAAAGTTATGACTACATCTAATCATATTACAATTGTTATAATTATCAGTTACTTATGGTGTAAGTGAAATTTGCCATGACAATGCTAATAAATTTGTTTAAAAATCTGTAAAATTTTGTATTCGGTTTTTACAATAAGAATTTAGGTTAATTAAGTGGTACATACTTGTTTGCTATATTATCTATAAAGAACTGGGAGGATAAAAATCAGGATGCAAACATCCTTAAAGTATAATATATTTTAAAAATTAAGTTAGCAGCTATCATGCCCCAAAAGACCGCAACATCCCTTGCGTTACTTTCTTACAAATGTCGAGGTCTTACCAAAATCTACGTACACCCTTGTTACTGAGCATGTAAAATGTGCTATCACAGAGAAATAAAGGATGAGAACCACACACTGCATCTATCCTGAGAAAAAAGAACGACGTGCACAGGGTGACACAGTGGGTCAGGGGCAGCCACAGACCCGGAATCCGGAGACGGCGGCCTCCAACCGGCCTTTCCCACCACATCGCAGTCACTGCGGCGGCGCAGAGCTTCAGACGCCAGCTTCCCCTCACCTGCTTGTTCACTGAGGCGGGCGAATTCCAGCAGGAACAACGCCCTTTCACAGCTGCTCACCAGGAACACCCTCTCATACTCATTCAGCTCCCCTCGTCTCACAGAACACAGAATTTCACATCCTTTCTCACTTAGCCTCACAACAGCCTTGCTGCACAGCAGGTGTATGTCAGTGTGCAGGTGTGGAAAGGGAGGCGGAAAACACTTTACATCCACAACCCATCCCCTCGTCCTGTTCTCCCTCCCTGAAGCCATGTCTGTATCTCTTTTTATAGTACTTCATTTATACTATGCCTTATATTTTACTTAATTTATGTAAAACGAGAGATAATAGTATCTATTTGATAAAACTGTCATGATTAACAATATTAAGAACAGTGCCTAACACACAGAAAACCCATCATAAATATTAGCTAGCATTTTTACTGAAAACTGTCAATGTGTACAAGGATTTTCCATCCCAAAGCTGCTGACGACTTTTTCCATAGGGCGTGGCACAACTCCGAAGTCAGTGAGGTCCAGGATGCATCTCACTCGTCTCAAAAGAGCTCCTTCTGGCTTCCTCAGTCCTGATGTCAGCTGCAAATCTGACGTGGACTCCTCAACCTTTCCTGTTTCTGATACCTAAGTTGTTGCTAAGTCTGATCAATCCTGGACAAATTTGTTCTTTCCTGTCTGTAAGCGCAGTGGCCAGTCATGCTGGGGTCGTTAATATCTCCCTCAATCATTTCAACAACTACCAAGAACAGTCTCCTTGTTTTTCTTGTCCTTCAATCCATTCTTCACAGAGCTGTTGGAGTGATCTTCCTAAAGACACTTCTTATTTTACTTTGCTATTGAAACAAATTAGCCACAAAACCCTTAAGGATTCAGGTTTAACAGAAGCATAAAGCCTAAACTGGATCCAAACTACCTCTCCAGCCCTCTATCCATGACGCTTCAAAACGGGACTTCTTGCTGTTCTCTCAAGACACCGAACTCCCCGATCGAGGCCCATTTTTGGTCCCCCGCCTTTTCCCATCTCCTCACCTTTGCTCAGATCCTACCCTCACTTAGAAAGTTCTTCGTCTCCATCTCTGCCTATAATTCTTACATTGTGCCCAAGCAGTGCTTTCTCTGTTCCTTTTATAGCCTCAAGGAATTACACAGCTGGAATCACTTTATCTTACAAATAAAACAACTGTGTCTGCAAATGCTAAAAGTGACTAATCAAGGTAATCGAGCAGTTAGGCCTAGAATTTAGCTACAACTTCAAATCCTACTCTCTTCTTAAGCCATGTCTGCCCCTCTTCCATGGCATTTAATTATACTTTGTCTTGTATTTTAGTTATTTATGTGATTATCTGTTTCTCAATTTAACTGTGTGAGGCCTAAAGGCAAATTTTTTTTCCAGGTATAGAATATTTGCAGAAAGTAAAACCTCGGTTGCTTGTTGAACCAAATTAAAGTTCCAATGAAAGATACAGCAACTTGACAGTAAGCCAGCTCCCCAGCGCGGCAAGAAACAAGACTGACTGTTGGCAGCATCTGCGCCCCACACACACACCTTTTAGGAAGCGTCACTTCTTGGTAACGTCCCTGAACACTAAAAATTTCTTCATGTGAGGAAAATAATAGTTGTGATTCTCGTAGGTATATAAGATTAAGTGAAGTAATGCAGGTAAACACTGAACCCAGTGCCTGGGGTATAATTTATGGCAAATAAATTTTAGCCTTGCCCTCCCTCTCCTCCAATGTAGCCAGATCTTTCTTCTATCTGACCCTGACACTCCTCTGCCTGAACACCTTGCATCTCTCCCCATCACGTCACTTACACGATAAAGCCCAGACTTCTTAATCTGGCCTTGCGGGAGTTGCTTCCCCGTCCTGCCTCGGCCCACGTACCTCTCCCAACTCAGCAACTGTTGCTTCCCGCCAACACTAGAAGCTTGTCAAATAGCACCTGTCTCCCTAAACAGAAAAGGTTCTGTTAAGCCTTCTCACCCTTGAGCTTTTGCCCAAAAACAGTAATTTAAAAGCATGGCTTTTCAAATCCAAGCTGGGTTCACATTCCAGCCCTACCACTTACTAACTATGTGACCTTGGGGAAATCACTTCTCTCAGGTCCTGTTCCTTACTTGCAACATGGAAGTGACCAATTATGTCCTTCCTCATGGTGTCACTGGAAGGTATCCCATGAATTAAATCCCACCTGACATCTCGAAAAGGCTTGTTCATGTTTGCTATAATTAGTATTATACTGTCTTCACTTCTTAGAGCACTAACTACACTGTACTGTATGTAAGTGACTCCCTATTAGATTATAAACTCTATGAGGGCAGGAACACTCTCTCTTATTCCAGTGTGTGTTCACATAGTAATTATCCAAACACTATCTCTTTAATAACTGAATGCTTCAAATGTCCTATTAGCAAACACCTTCCCAGGGCTGTTAGCAAGTTTACTCTTCCAATACCATCTCCTTTTCCTGAGGTTTCCTACCTCCATTCTAATGCGCTTTGCACCGACGATGCTACTTTAAAGGGACTCTCTCTCTCCCTTGACTGTGAGCACCCGGGGTTGTATACTTACTTCGCTGGGACGTTTGAGTATAAAGTGACATAGAGTAAGTAAAGTGGGCCTCGTTGGTGCTTAATAAAAAGTACCACTATTACTCATGTGAGGAAGCAAGTCGCTGTGGGGGAGGGGGGAAGAGTTTTCGAGCCAGGGCGGGCGGGGGATGGGGGGCAATTCCCGGAGCCGAGGACAGGGCATCCGGGGGTTGACCTGTTTATGTGTTGGTGGGGAATGGGGTAAGGGGTCCGGAGCCCAGGGTCCGCTGAGTCGAAGCAGGATCGGGCCAGGCCCTGGAAACTTTCAGCCCTATGTCCCCCTTGCCTGTCCTCCATACGAGCCTCACCTCCTGCACTTTCAGATCCTCCAGAGTAGGTAGTTCCACTATTCCCGGCATGATGTCTGTAGCCCCGACCCTGACGAAGCAGCCACAGCCGCGTCGCCCCCGTCTCCTTGAACTCCCCTTTCGACCGCCGAGGGCCACGCAGCAACTGCGCGTGCGCAGCTGGCGGCACGCAGGCGCACCGCTCTGCCCCTCTGCGAGCCCCTGAGCGTGCGTAAAGCCAGGAAGTCGTGTGAACGCGTTGGCTCCGCCCATCCCTCCTGGTTGTCATAGTGAGGCTGTAAACACTGAGACTCCGGGATCCCAACGGCTGCTAGCTAGAGGCGGGCGCCATGCAGTACACGGGGAGCGAATATATTGGGGAATTTGTAGATGGGAGGTAAGGACCTCATTTGATTCACTGTCTTGAACATCTGTGACTGGGGAAAGACGGCTGTCTTTTTGCCTTTGAAAAGAACCTTGTACCAGACACTTTCACAAACTTTATCCCTTTTAACCGTCAGAACATTTTCCAGTAGGATTGTTTATTCCCATTGTACAGTCCGGTAAAATGACACTCAGAGAAGTGAAGTAACTTGTTCAAGAGGCAGAGATGAGATAACATTCATTCCATATATACTTGGGCCAAGGCAGAGGCAGTGGGTCTGCAGGAAAGAGGACAATGTCGAAGTTTAGGATTTCATTGCCAGGCCTTGGCAACTGATTGGTTCCTGGTCCCATTCAGAGACTGCCTCCAGTCCCGGCCCGGTGCCCAGCTCCAGGCTTTGAACCTGGAGGATTCTGATACCATTCACAGAAATTGAGAACTCTGAGGAGGGGCCGCTTTGGAAGAGAAGAGGGTGAGTTCCATTTCGGGTGAGCTGGAGATTCTGTAGAAGGTGTGTAGAGGGACAATGATGTCCAATTGGCAATAAGAAAAAGGGGGGGCTCTAATCTCAGAGAAGAATTTAGAAGGAAGCTATGCTTTGAAATGATGGGAAGGGATTAAGCAATAAAGGAAAGAAAAAGAAGGAAGGAAAGGAAGGAAGGGAGGGAGGGAGGAAGGAAGGGAGGAAGGAAGGAAGGAAAGAAAGAAAGAAAAAGAAAGAAAGAAGTGAACTCAAGCAAAGAGGTAGAAGAAAGAAGGAACTCTTCTTTCTCCTCCTGTGTCTTTCAGTAGAATAAAGGAAAAATAATTTCTAAGCTCTTAGTATATGCCAGCAACTCTGGGGGTGTTGTTGTCATTATCTCCATTTTACAGATGAGAAACTGTCTCAAAGAGTTCAAGGAGCTTACCAAAGGTCACATAGGTACAGAGAGGTAGAGCAAGGCCTGGACGGCTCAGAAGTTGTGCTTTATTTTATTGATTTCAGAGAGAGAGAGGGAGAGGGCGGGAAGAGAGAGAGAGAGAAACACTGATTTGTTGTCCCACTTAATTTATGCCTTCATTGGTTGACTCTTGTATGTGCCCTGACCAGGGATCAAACCGGCAACCTTGGTGTATTAGGACCATGCTCTAACTTACCGAACTACTTGGCCAGGGCTCAGAAACTGTGCTTTAACCACAGTGCCCTCCTGCTTGGGCATGTGCCACAGTGGCATCTGTCATACACTCAACCAGCTCGCTGACCTTTGTGTTTCTTTCATTTTTTACTCAGTAGATGTTTACAGAGCACCTGTTTAAAAAGAAGCATGATTCTAAGAGCTGAGGATATCAAGGTCTTCCTCTCAGATGATTTGATTAAATAGGGGAGACAAGGTATACAATTACTAGGCGAGGCAGAAAAGTGCTAAGCATCCAAGAGAGGTAAAACAAAAGCCTAAAGAAGTTCAGAGTTAGGGGCAGTGATTTCCAGCTAATAGAAAATGAATGAAAGCATATTTCTCAAGCACTTGCTGTATATGTCAGGCCCTTTACTAGAAAAACTGTTAACACATTATCAGGCATTAATCTCAGACTTTCACACATGAAACTGATCAAATGGTCACCTGGTTAAGTGTCCCTTCCCTATGCTCCACAGGGGCTTGTCATCACCTGCATGGCACTTAATTTATGGAATTGCTTAATTGTGTCCCCCAGTAGACTGAGTCCCACCTCACGAGCAGGGATGGCATCTGCCTTGATTGCTGTTGCGTCCACGTCACATCCATCAGACCTGACTTAACAAGACACCTGGCATCTAATAGGTGCATTGTAGATATTTTTGTTGGGAAAAAGGAAGAAATGAAGGGAGGAAAGCAGACAAACAGGTTTAGGAAAGTATCTAAGATGATACATCTAGGAAATGGCGAAGATTCAAATTCATATATCCTGTCCAAATTTCATATTTTTCCAAATATCCCACTTGTGGTGTAATGGGTAGGGTAGGGCTGGTCTTAGCAGCAAAGACACAGAGCCAGCTGCCAGGAAATGTGGCCCTAGTCTCTTCACAGTGCTTGCTGTGTGGCTTTGGGCACATCCCTCCCCTCTCTGGGCCTACCAAGGGTATTCCAGGGATGGTGTGAACCTCAGGACAGCCTCTATGTGAGGGGGAGGAGAAACAGACCAAACTCTACCTGCCTCATCAGCCCCTCTTATATTTGAGCTTTTGAGGGGAAACAAAAGAAAAAATTTGGTTTTGGGCAGAATATTGCTGGGATGGTAACATCTGAGGACCCTGAGGAGGAGGCGCCCACTTGCTGTCCTGTGCCTGCTAAATCAGACCCTCCAGCTGCCTCGCAGGGCTCAGTGATTTCCCTTTGACCTTACAGGATGGAGGGCAATGCTGAATACATCCTCCCTACCGAAACAAGATATGTTGGAGAAATGAAGGACGGCATGTTTCATGGCCAAGGAACCCTGTACTTCCCCAGCGGAAGCCGATATGATGCCATTTGGGAAAATGGATTGGCCATTAAGGTGATCAGCCTGGGAGGGGGCGCTGCAGAGGGGAAAGCCTCAGATAGGAGGACACCCTCCCCCCCCACACACACACACGACACCCCGTCTTCCCTATCTGTTGCCTTCTTCTTCCCTCCTCTTAATATCCAGGGCTCTGGGGACCTCTCCCTCTGGAACCAAAAGAACCCCTAGACAAGCCATGACGAGTTTGAATCCTGTGAAACCACTAACTGTGTGACCTTGAGCCTATGATTTCCCCTTTGAGACTCACACTCCTTGTCTAATAAATTGGAAACAAGAGTTGTATTAGTTTCCTACTGCTGCTGTTACAAATTACTACAAATCCAGTGTCTTAAAACAACAGAACATTTATCTTACAGTTCTGGGAGTGTCGGAAGGCTGACGTAGGTCAGCAGTGCGGCATTCCTTCTGGAGGCTCTGTGGGAGGATCCGTTTTCTTGCCTTTTCCAGCTTCTAGAAGCTGCCTGCATTCCTTGGCTCACGGCCACCCATCACTCTGACCTCCGCTGCTATCATCACATCTCCTCTCCCTTTGCTTTTGTCATCACCTTGTCTTTGGTCACACTGATGCTCTTGCCTCCCTCTTATAAGGACCCTGGTGGTTACATCGGGCCCCCCAGGTAGCCCAGGTTAATCTTGCCACTTCAAGGTCCTTAACTTGATCACGTCACAAAGTCCCCTTGCCATGTAGAGTCAGCATATTCACAGGTTCCAGAGACTGGACGTGGGTGCCTCTGGGAACCATTATTCAGCCTGACACCCTGGTGCCAGGCACCTGCTGGGATGTCTGGGGGGCGCGGGGGTAAATGAGGCAGTGTAGGCAGTGCTTTGCTCCGTCCCTGGCACACAGTGGGCATCCATAAGTGTTAGCTCTTACTGTTACGGCTGCCACCACCGCTACCTCTGTCATGATAAGTCATCTAATCCAAGGATTCTTAACCTGGAATTTGTGGATCATGAATAGAATTCAAGGAGTCAACGAAAGCTCCTGATTTCTATTAGAAAGTTCCTGTGTGTATGGGGTTGTATTTTCCTCTGTGGAAAGAATCTGTAACTTTCATCAGTTTCACTAAGGGTATGTATGGGGCTGGCTCATGACCTCGAAAAGATGAAAAAACACTCGTCTTACAGCTTGAAGAATCTAAGCCCCAGGAAGGGGATGTGACTTACCCAAGGTCACACAGTGAGTTAATAGTATTGGAATTTCCACCCATGTTTCCTGATGCTCAGGCCGAAGCGATATCTATCTACATCCTGGGGTTTCCTGTAGCACTAAGACAGCAAAGCAGAACCTCCATGTTTGGACAAAGGGCCATCCATGACTGATGGCTCTGCCCTTTGAGTTACGATAACAATTTTAAAAATGATAATAACAACATTTATTGAGAGCTTACTACATGCCAGGCACTGTGGTAAATGTTTTGCATCTACTATTTCATTGAATTAACCCAGTTTAATATATACCAGTATCATCCTAATTTTACGAATGAGGAAACCAAAGGCAAGAGTGGGTAAGTCACCTGCCCAAGGTCACATTTTGTCATACTGAGTGCCAGGCACTAAGCTCAGCACTGTATATCTATCATCACAGCCAAGAAAACTGTTATCACTGCCACTTCTTTTCTGTGGCAGTGAAAAAGCCACGGCTTTTCTTGACGTCTTAAAGAAGGGCTTCCTCAGCCCCGCCTGTGTGCTGCTTGTTTTCCAGGGCACGTACACCTTCTCAGACGGGCTTCAGTATGAAGAAAAGAACTGGCATTACTGCGACAGCTACGATCGGAGGTTTTACACGGAGATCTGTCATGGCCTGAAGCCTACAGGTACCCAGGCACCTGCACTCCCAAACTGAGAGGGAAATGAAACGCAGTTTTATATAAGTGGGCCGTGGCCTACTGAAGCAACCCCAAGGAGAGGAGGAACCGAGCAGGAGCCAGAGACCACCAAAGAACCAGGGTCTGGAGCCAGAAAGGGCAGACAATAAATCCAAAATGGCAGATGGGAAAATGACGGCGCAAACTGTAAAAGTGAATCCTAACTTTCTGAGATGCTGTGGTGGAGCTGAAAGGTCTGGGTTTGAGTCTAGCTTTCCCTGCTAACAGCTGGGGGAGCCTGACCAAGGCCACCTCCATGACAGCGGAAGTCTCCAGAAAGCACCCAGGGTCGGAGGCAGGCTCACCTGAGCTCAGACCCTGCCTGTGTGACTTTGTATCAGTTAGTTGACCTGGTGAACCTTCTTCTCTCCCTGTGCGCTTTCCCGACACCTCAGTCTCTTGTTTTCTTCCTATCCCCGGTCCCCTTTGCCAGCCCTTCATCCCCCAGTTATTCATTGCGGGAGCCCCGGGTCTCCCTGGCCAGGCCGTCCTCCCTTATTCTGTACACTCTCCCTAAACAAGTTCATTCACGCCTAAGCCCTCACTTACCATCAGCTTCCAAACTGCAGTCAAACCGCCCGATTTTCAGATCCCTGCACCCAGCTTCCCCAGCACCTGTATTTGCTCATCCCTCAACTGGTCTGCACTGAATTCATACCTCCCCGCCAGAGCAAACGCTCCCTCAGAGACTGCCACTCCCATCTCCCTAGATCAGCTTAGCCCTGCCTCCCCCGCCCCATGTACAATCACTGGGTCCTGCGGGTTCTGCCCCTTAAATATGTTCCACTCATTTACTCATTAGACAAGTATTTACCGAGCACCTGCCTGTGCCGAGCCTCGTTTGCGTCATCCTCTCCGCCACGGCCCTGTTCCAGACCTCCCCGCTCCTGCCTCCTTTGCCTGGTCTCCTGAGATCCGCGCTTGACCCACACTGGGCTGTTATCACTCTGCAGCCACCTTCATCTTTCAAAATTGTGAATCTGATTGCCAACCCGCACCCTTCACACACACACACACACACACACACAGAGCCTTCGCTGCCTCCTCACTGCCCTGAAGTTAAGGTTCCTGAAGTTAAGCGTCACAATTCTAAAAAATGACCTGCATTTCCTGGCTCCCGCTGAGGTCCCCAGCCTCTTCCAGTCCTGCGTTCCCCACCCTTCTCGCCCTTCTCGGTTTTCTCTCTCCCGGGCCACACTGGCTTTCTCTCTACTCGTCCTCAAAGAGGCCACGCCCTTTCACCACCCCCTGCCGGGAGCGCGCCAGCCCTCTCACTTCATCCAGGTAACTGCTCCCCATCCTCCAGGTCTGGGCTTCCTGTCCCTTTCTCTAGGACCCCTTCCCCGCCCTCCCAAGGCCAGGTGTCCCCAGGGCATGCCACGCAGCAGCATGGTACTCCTGCAGAGCTCTGTGGCCTCAGAGTCTCTCATCCCTAGTGACTAGGCTCTCCCTGCGGGCAGGGACCCTGTCGCTTTCACCACTGTGTCCCCAGGGCCTAGGACATTGCCTGCCACATAGTAGGAACTCAATAAAGAGATGTTATCAAACAGGGACTGCTCTATTGCCATCACAGTGCAGGGTGACGGGGCACACTTTGGGGAGCTGTAGCAACGACATTGATATTTCCTGAGCACCTCCTCTGGGTCAGGCTTTGGCCGTGTGCCAGGGGACCGACTGCTGCGAGGACATAGTCTTTGACCTCAGAAAGCTGCCAGTCTAGATGCCACTTGAGAAACTGGTAAGTGGCCCCTCCTTGGGTTAGTTATGACAGGTCCTGGGCTTTGTCACTGGCTCCTCACCCAAGCAGAGCCCTAGAGACCAGGTGCCCCCCGACCGCAGGCCCTCTCTTCTCATGCAGCAGCTGGCTTGGCCAAAGCTGGGCCTCTGGCCAACCTGAAGCCAGTGTGGTGGCCTCCCCCGCACCCTTCCCTTCTCCTCCTCTGACTCCCAGCCGAGCAGCTCGACCCTGAGCGCCTACTTCCTTCCCAAGTCGGTCAGCACTCTGCGGACGTCTCCAACAGCCGCTGCTTGGCCCCAGGGCAGGCACTGTGAGGGCAGGGAGAGGGGAAAGGCCACCCCTCCACCTCTCAGAACTTCTCTGGGGTGGCCATGAGCATGAGGCTTCAGGGAGAGAATGGCTAGACAGCGCTCAGCGTGGAGTATCCGTGCAGTAATTGTTCGCCAACGGTATACCTAGTCATCACTGTTCACCAACATAGGAGCGCCTGGAGCGTGCAGGACCCTGAGCTGTGAGCATGGTGCCAGTCCTGAGGACAGGAATTATAGGAACCAGAGGTTGTATGAAACCCAGGAAGTTATTGACCCCAACCCTGTACCCTTTGCTCAGGCCTCGGCATTCCAAGATATACAACACATAGAACGGCCTGACTTAAAAGGTGCACAGAGTCCTCTTTCTCTCGTGCTGGGTCCAATGTCCCCAGCCCTGGGAAAGGGGATGCCCAGGCCCTCTCCTTCCCTGATAACAGCAACTTAACATACAGGTTACAAAACTGGATATCTCGCTGCTTCCTAGCTGGATAACCTTGGGCAAGTTACTTGACCTCTCGGAGCCTCAATTTTTATTTGTAAAATGGGGCCTCAGGACCGCTGTTGAGAGTGAAGGGAAATAGTAGGAGTCAAGCACTTAGCAAAATATCTGGCACCTAATAAGCACTCGATAAATGGCAGTGATGGTGGTAATTTGGGTGAGAGTCAAGGTTCTCCGTCACCTGCCCACCTGGCCCATTTCCTCCCTCCTGTTCTTCCTCATTCATGCCCAGCCCCACAGGTTTCCGAGTGAGACATGAGCACCTGCTATGGCCTCTGCCTTCACCGTGAATGCTAACCCTCTCCGTACATGCCTTCTATCCACATGGCCAACTCTGAGGCATCCTCAGGGTCTCTCTGACTCCAGAAACATGCCTTTGTCATGGTGTCCCTAGGAATGGAGGATGGGGTCCAGTGCCCAAGACCACCCTCACCGAGCCACTTTCAGGACGCTCCTCTGGGGCACTGTTCCTGCTCCTTTTGCTCCGGACCCTCAATGGGGGACATTTAGTCCAACAGCAGAGCCAATATTCACAAGAGCAACTGGACAAAAGTGGGCTTTGGCAGGGGCTGGGTTTCAGTCTGACCTTGGTGGTGAGTTAATTATCCATTGTATCCTTTCAAGGTATCTCTCAACTCACCAATATGGACCCGCCTAGAGAAATCCCCAAAGGCTGTTATGACTGTGGAGATGGCTTCTACAACCCAACCACGAGGATAGTCAAGGACTATAGGAACCGCTTTCTGAGAAATGCGGGTATGTCTCTTCTGACACCCTGTGGCGCGCGTTATTCTCTTCTCTCCTTCACACATAGGCCTGTGCATGTGTGCGCCCACATAGGCATGCATGGGGTGAGAAAGAAGCTTTTGCTGATAAAGGACAAAAACAGATTATTTGAATGTTTCACTACTTGAAATTTTCATGGCTGTCAAGTCTGTACATAGCCATAGAGTGAGAGCAAGGACATTATGGTCTGTCTGTGACAAGGGATTAAAATACTTACTTTTGCCTGCTCCCCTTCATCTAGCATTTAATGCACACCTACTGTCTGCTAGACACTATGCTTGGTATGAGCAGCAAACATGGCAAGGCTAGACACAAACCCCCTTCCCTCATGGAGTTTATATTTTGACAGGTAGCAGACAAGTCCTATAAACAGTTGATTGCATCATGGAATAAGCACAATGAAAGGGAAAAAACATGGCCCTAGATGCACAGGCAGGGGGTGGCCCCAGAGAGGTAGGGATGATTCTGTGGGAGCACAAAGCAGGGGTACCTGATCCAGAATTAGAAATTCAGAAAGGGTTTCAAGAAGGAAATGACAGGTAGCTGAGACCCAAAGGATAACTGGGAATTGACCACACACATGTGGAGGGGTTTTCTAGCCAGAAGAGACCACACGGGTAAAAGCTTAGATGTGAGTGATACCTTGTAGTCCAAGTAGGAAGGCTGGTGGCACCTCAGCCAGGGGGGTCCCAGAATCTCCGTTTGGTAAGTGAACACAAGCTGACCAGACTAGGAGGAAGACACTTTACAAATAAGAACATGAACATTTTCCTTTAACACAGTGATTCCTAACCTTTTTCTTATCTAGAGTCTCAGTCCCATTAGGAATAACAAAAACTATGGACCACTTTCTAGAAAAATGTCTACTAACACACAAACACAAACATACATGTATACACACACACATACACACACACACATGTATTTTGCACATAATCTTAAGAGGTTGATCATCCCTCTAAAGATCCAGATCAAGAAACTCTGCTCTACAATGAGAAAGAGTCTGTCAGGTAGACCAGAAGGCCTGCCCCAGCTGATGTGAGCACTTTACACAGTACATTTCCCCCACTGTATAAATTAGTTTGGAGCATTTTTATGGAAGTAGGCTTCCGTGGAACATATTTTGGGAATTCTATGTTACTATAATCATTCTTCAGTTGTACAATGCCACCGATTCATTTTCGGCTTTTCCACCTTGCCTCATGTGACATCCTGGTCCCACGGAGATTCACATTCTAGTAGGGGAAATGATGCAAAAACACATAATCACAATATAATGGGATGTGGGCCCTGGTTCGGGGGAGCCCGGAAGGATGAAGGGGGGTTGAGGAGGAGAACTAATCACCTGGCCGAAATGAAGGGTGTCACTCAAAAAAAAATAGTGCCACAAATGATGAGATTTCATGAATGGGAATGTTGTGGAAGGGCATTTCAGGCAGAGGGAACAGCATGTGGAAAGACACAGAGGCACAAAAGCATGGTGTGGCTGAGGAATCAGATATTGTGTTCCTAGGCTCCTCTGGGAAAAAGCTACACTTGATGGTAAACTTCAAAATGCATTATGGGGATGAGCAGATGGAGTGCAGGGATTTTGGGGGCAGTGAAAATACTCTGTATACTATACTGATGGATACATGTCATTATATATTTGTCCAAACCCATAGAATGTACAACATCAAGAGTGAATTCTAATGTAAACTATGAACCTCGGGCGATTATGATCTGTCAGTGTAGGCTCATCAGCGGTAATCATTGTACCACTCTGATGGGGGATGTTGATCATAGGGGAGGAGGCTATGCCCGTGTGAGGCAGGAGAGATATGGGAAATCTCTGCACTTAAGTCTCAATTTTGTTGTGAACCTAAAACTGCTCTTAAAAAAATTAAGTCATTTTAAAATACATCATGGGAAGGGAAGGCCATTCTAAGGAAGTTTGGAGAAGGATGGACACTGATGATTGTCTGGTGAACAAATACTAAGTGACTAGTTGCTGTGGACCTAGCTTTGTATTAGGCATAAAAGTGATCGCAGCATTGTAGCATCTTCTGTCACGGAGCAGAAGAAACTGACAGTAAAATGGGTCCTAACACCACCAAGTTGCTGCAAGAGAACCTAGCAGGGATACCTAACCCTGGAGGCCAGCAGGCTAGGGAGGTTTCCTGGGAAAAGCAAGATCTAATGTGCAGCCTAAATAAGAGCAGACAAGTGCAACAGGGTTGGGAAATGTGTTAAAGCCAGCGGAACAGCATGTGAAAGGATTAGAGACGGGGGAGAACCCTGCACATCTTGGGGGCTACCAGTAGTCCAGAAGGTGACCTAACAATGTCAGGGGAAGGAGAGCAAGGGAGGAAGCCTGAGAGGTGGGAAAGGTGAGGGAAGTAGGAAAGATTGAGGGTGTCTTTTCATTTGAGGGCAGTGGAGAACACGGGAAGGTTGCAGGCAGGTAGAGTAGTAACTGATTTGTCCTTTAGAAATGTTTCTCTGGTTACACATAGAGAAGGAACCAAAGGGCAGTAAAATTAGATAGGATATCCTTCCAGCAAGATGTCAAGAGAGAGACATCTGAAGAACTCCAAGCCCTTGGTGGTGGCACAGAGACCTGGGTTTGAGGTCCTGGCCCCCACTCTCAGGCTGCCTACTGGCTGACCCTGGGTCAGTGCCTTCCCTCTCTGGACCCCTTTCTCTTCCTCTGTAAAATTAGGGCATTGGGCTGGATAATTTCTAGGGTCCTTCCAACCTTAAGAGTCTATGATGGAGGAGAAAGGCAGCCAAGGAGTATTTTGGTTCAGATATTATAGGACAGATCAAGTTCGGAGTGTCCTGAAAAACCACTAAAAGGGAGTCTCTGTTCATGGCTACCTAGTCATTACCCTTGACTCACCCTGCCAGGGACTGATCCAGGCTTCTGTCCACCTTCAGTTTTCCCCAGGGCCCTTTCTCCCCTCCATTCCAGCCTGTCCCCATAAACATCACTTCCTGTTGGCATCATGAAGGCACAGGGTGCAGGCCATGCCAGCCAGAGGTGGGTCACTAAGGCCATCCCAGAGTAAACACAGTGGCCTGAGCCACTGCTATTATGAAGCTCATGCCATCTGGGTGGCTCAGAGTCTGGGATGCTCATTTTATAGGAGGTCACAGGCTGAGGCACCGAGAAGGGTCGCCTTTGGAGCCTCTCTGAACTGCCTCAGCTCTGTCCCCATCTCGCACTGGCTTCTTTCCCCAGGCAGGGGAGCTTGCTTTAGGCCTGACTGGGGAGCCCTGGACTGCTGAGCTGCAGAACGCACGCATGCTTGGGCAGTCTGGGTTTGCTAGGCCTGGGTTTTTGAGAATGCCTTTCTTAATTGGGGAGGATGGTACCTCCTTGCTGGATGGCTAAGAGAATTTAAATCCATCCTTCCACTCATCAAAAAGTCTATGAGTGCCTATGATGTGCCAGGCTTTGGGGATCCAGGCAGGCAAGAATTCTCTGGAACTGTGGCTCTCAAACCTTGGGACACTGGTGGGCAGTAAAGAACAACTTATATCATGGCCCAGTCCTCACTTCAACACATCCACACATACGTATGCATTCTTCCTACATGTGACTTACCTTTTTAAAATACTGGTTGCTATGTACAAAATTGATTTTACAACGCTCTTAAGGGTCAGGACCGGCCATTGATAGATCATTGTTCTAGGCAATTGTTGGTTAGCTTTCCCTGGCCAACCTGTCTCACCTTCCATCCCTCCCTCCTCCCCTCCCCTGCTCTGTCTGGATTATGTGTCTCTTCTCAGCGCCCCCACAAGCCTCACTCACAGCACTTAGCCTGTGACAGTACAAGTGGCTTTATTTGCCTATCTCCCCAGCTAGGGTGGGAGCTTCTTGAGGGCAGGGACTATATGACTGTGATTCGTCACTGCGTCCCCTGCGCCTCACACAGGTCCCACGACTCAGAGCTGATTATGAAAGTAGGCAGGCAGAGGACCTACCACAAGTCCCTCATCTTCTTCAAATAATCATACAAATTCAGCCCCTGGAACACATTAAACAACTTGTTATTTTGAGTAATAAAAACAATCCGTTATAGTCCTGTGCCACTTAATGATGGGAAATATGTTCTGGGAAATGCATCGTTAGGTGATTTCATTGTTGTGCAAACATCGTAGACTGCATTTTCACAAACCAAGATGGTCTAGGCTACTGCACACCGACTGTGTGGCATAGCCTACTGCTCCTGGGTTACAAGTCTGTACAGCATATGCTGAACAAAACAATGCAAATTAAATCAATCACAAGAGAAATGATGCAATCAAGAGACATGGTAGACATGGGATGTATGAGTACACTCTAAAATAATGATAGGAGCGTCTAGGTTGGTGAACACATGGAGTGCGAGGATTCCAGCAAAGCAAGAAGGGGTGAAGTGGCTGAGAAGGGCCAGTACCAGTGTGGTTTTTGATGGAGTGCTAATTATGTTCCACCTCCAGTGCAGTGCTGTGGGAGGACTACAGTCATCTTATTGCAGAAGGCAGGTTGAGCTAATGAATCTCTGAGGAGAGCTTTATGCTGCATTCTGGGGGGTATATATGCCTGGAACAAACATATATTTGAAACAGAGTTGAGGTTATTGTGGGTAAAATCCAAGATGGCAAAGGAGTAAGTGGAAGCTATAGTAACCTCCTCCCAGAACCAATCTGGAATTACAGCTAAATTGTAGAGAAAGCATTTTGAATAACCAACTGAACACCAGCTGGAGAGAAGCCTTATAACCATGGACAAACAGAAGAAACCACTTCACCACAACATAACTGGTAGGGATTGCGGAGATGCAAGAGGGCTGGCTGAGCTTCCAGGGGTGGCAGATGAAAATCCAGAGGGATATTTCAGCAACCAGGGATTCTCCCAGAGAAGTGTGGGGTCTAAACCCCAAGCTGGTCTCCTCAACCTACAGCATCAGTGCCAGAAAGGAACCTAGAAGGAACCCAGAAAG